CCCAGGACAGAGACAGGATCATGACCTGAGCGAAGGCAGATGCCTAACCAACTGAGCCACCCAGGCGCCCCACTTTTCTTCACTTTATATATGGTTGGTATCTTTTAACATTAGTACATATAGATCTAACACACTTTGTATGTGCTTGACCCATTATAGGACTTTGTGTTAAGACTTAAAAAAAAGCCTGACTCAAGGATACAGGTGTTCACTCCACTATTCTTTCACATTTTACATAGGCTGAAAATTTTTCAAAAGTTTATGAAAAACAAACCATGATCAAAGCATTCACTTGAATGGAAAGATTCCACAAGTGTTTTTATGTTCCTGCATGTTCGGTACTTAGCATCTCAAAGTATGCAGTTGTTCCTCATCTCAGAAGCCAGAACAAATTCCTAACCGGGCTGATGCTCTTGACTTGACTCATTAAGATTTCATAAAGCTGGGGCGCCTGGGTGGCTCATCGTTAAGCGTCTGCCTTCGGCTCAGGTCATGATCCCAGGGTCCTGGGATCGAGCCCCACATCGGGCTCCCGGCTCAGCGGGAAGCCTGCTTCTCCCTCTCCCACTCCCCCTGCTTGTGTTCCCTCTCTCTCTGTGTCTCTGTCAAATAAATAAAATCTTAAAAAAAAAATTTCATAAAGCTCATAAGCTTTTACAACATTTTCTTAATAATCTCTAATTTCCCCCCATCAAGCAACAGAATAAAACTCATTTCAAGCTGCACTTGACCCTGCAACCAGGATCTTGGAATCTTTACTACTTTTTTAAATTGTTCAGACATAAGATCATGCAATCTGAGTCAAAGCCAAAGTCCTTTCAATGCTCCTAAACCTCTCAGTCTGAATCTCCTGCCACCTTCTTCACAGACCAGCCTCCTGCTGTTCTGGAACATATCAAGCTTGCACCAGCTGTAGGGCCTTCTCTGCACAAAACAAGATACTCTTCTAACCCAGACATCTCCCCAACCCCAAAGCTAAAGCCCTTACCACTGACTTCAAGGTTTTGTTCAAATGCCACCTGATCAATGAGGCCCACCTGCTCTATTTAGAACGGCAACCAGCTCTCCCAGCCCACCTACACTCCTGAACTCTTTTACCTGATTGGAACAAACGAAATATAGATTTTCAAGTGACAGGCGAACACGGAAAGACAGGGCGTTGTGGATTTAGAAAGTCTATCAGAAAGGAGACTATGACAGAGCAGTCAGAAGCAGGGGAGAGGGGTGGCACAGAGGGAGGAGCCAAAGGAAGCTTCAGGGCAGCGTGGCCCATGCCACAGAAGACAAGGACATTGCTCAGTCCTCAGTACAATCTATCATCTTGCTTTTACTAATTTTATTTTTTTAAAGATTTTATTTATTTGCCAGAGAGAGGGCAAAGGAGAGAGAGAGAGAGCATGAGAGTACAAGCAAGGGAAAGTGGCAGGCAGAGGGAGAAGCAGGCTCCCCGCCGAACAGGGAGCCCGATGAGAGACTCGATCCCAGGCCCCTGGGATCACGACCTGAGCCAAGGGCAGACGCTTAACCAACTGAGCCACCCAGACGTCCCACTAATGTTAATTTAGTATTTCATACAGATTCTCATTTTTCTACTCCTTGTATTTCAGATTCTGTACAAGTAAGTAGGATACTAATGACTCTAGCAGATTAAGGCTTGCTTGCAAACAATATTTTTTTTCAAAATTTTTAAAATTTATTTTTTTAAGCTTGCAAACAATATTTTAAAATCATAAAACTCCTAGGTTTACAAAGCCCTTTTGCCTCATTTAATCATCTTGCATGTTAAAGAGGTATCAACCACCTGAAAAGGTCTACAAACAAACGACGCAGGGGTCCTAAGTAAACATGTGGGACACAGCATCCCTTATTCCAGCACCTCCCACGGAGAGGCCGACGACACACTGTGGTGAGTAAAAAGGCAGCGACCCGCAGCTGTCCTCTTGCTCAGATTCTATTTCCCAGGGCACTTCCCTTTACAAGAGGCCAGAGTAATTAAACCCTTAAATCAGGTTAATTTAATTAGTGATTTTCCACAAATGAACAGAAACTCTAAACCTGCAGGGGTATTTAAAGTCGCAGCTTAACTATCACAGTAAAGACGACAGATACCCCGCGCCCACTCCCTCCCCGCCTCCGCACGTGAAGTGACTGCTGCTATCCTGGATCAAGCCCGAGATCCAGCCTAAAATCCTTACACAGTTCTTAGCCGCCAACGAACCTGGTGACCACTTTGTGCCTCCCCCGCTCCCATCTCACCACTGACCTGACCGAACAAGCCCACATGCTACTCCTACAGCTCAGCTCTCAGGCTTCTCTACAGCTGTGCGTGCACCTGCACTCCATGTCAGGTATACCATGTCATCCACCACGGGCTTCTGGGCTTGGTGCGCGCTGAGCCCTTCTGACTGCCCAAACCACTCAAAGTAAAGCTAATTTCCCTCCTCCTAAATGCATCTACCTTCAATCATTGTGGTACAAATTCCTTGTTATGAAAATTGTACTTGAATAACATTTCCTGAGATTCCCAAACAACCACAAACAACTGTGAGATTTGGAAACCCTAAGCATCACATTAGAAACGGAGTCCTTTGTTCCTTATTGCTTATGGGACAAGCAAGCCTTCAGTACTCTTGCAATGAAGAGAACAAAAGTGCAAGATCATATGGATATGGTGATCATGCAAGTCCTCTCTGAAATCAGAACTGAAGTGTGAGACTGTAGGAAGAACAGCTTGTGCAAATGCCCAGGGACAGATATGCAGAGGAGAGTAGTAAGGAAGCTGTGAGAACAGTAAACAAGAAGCCAGTTAGAGAGGTTGGCAAAAGCCAGATCTGCTGGATAAAAATATGTGAACTGCATTCTGTACGCAATGAGAAGCAGTTTTGTTCTGTTGTTTTGTGGGAAATGACACCTATGGTTAAAAAAAAAGAAGAAGAAAGAAAAAGACTTCTCTACTGCCCAGTGGAAAATAGATGGTCCAGGTAAGTGACTATGGGTAGTTTGGACTAGAGGGTAATCATAGTTAAGTGGACATGTGACAAAGGTGATTTTTTTTAATGATACAAAACATGGGAACTTTTTTTTCAAAACATGGTAATTTTTAACATTATGTACTAGGTCTTCTCTTACAATAGTTCTTGTAATTCTACATGTGACTGCAAAGCATTAACGCAATTCTAGACAAAAGGTTCCAAAGTAGGCGCTTGGTGGGGTGGTGGGGGGAGGGGGGTCAAATGCAGACTTGTTTTGGCCACAAAGTTTACTTTCTTAAAACTTGAGTTGATTTGGTATCTAAAAATCAGTATTTCCAATTTCTATTGAAAATCACTAGATCTGGCAAACAACCGTTGGCTAGTGGAAACTGGCTAGAGCACAAGCTTTCTGGTTTCTCCCCAGTCCCCACACCTAGCACCCTTGACTCCTTCATACCACCTACTGGAAAGATATTTCAGTTTTCCACTCTTCCAGTCTGGTACCTTCGCTTAGGGTGCCAGAAGCCCTTATTCACATAAAAGTATCCCAATGTGAGGGGCGCCTGTGTGGCTCAGTCATTAGACGTCTGCCTTCAGCTCAGGTCATGATCCCAGGGTCCTGGGATCAAGTCTGCATGGGGCTCCTTGCTTGGCGGGAGGCCTGCTTCTCGCTCTCCCGCTCCCCCCTGCTTGTGTTCCCTCTCTTGCTGTGTCTCTCCTGTCAAATAAGTAAATAAAATCTTAAAAAAAAAAAAAAAAAAAAAGGCAGGTTCATCTCATCTCACCTTAACACATTTTTTTTTTTTAAAGGTTATTTGAGGGAGAGAGAGCACACAGAGTGAGAACACGAGTTGGGGGGAGAGACAGAGGGAGAGGGAGAAGCAGACTCCCCGCTGAGCAGGGAGCCCAATGTGGGGCCCGACCCCAGGACCCTGAGATCATGACCTGAGCCGAAGGCAGACGCTCAACTGACTGAGCCACCCAGGTGCCCCTCACCTTAACACATTTTTGATCAAGAACTGGTTTTAAGTAGCCTGCCATCACCAGTAATAGGAACCAAAACCTAAGAGTCCAGACACAGAGACAATTCCATCCTGATACAACCAAACCAGAGGGCACAAAAAGGACAACACCTGCATGGTCTCAACAGGCCTGGTCCTAGCACTCAGCCTCCCTCATTTTGCACACCAGGGAGCAGCACAAGTACTGTCAGACCAGAAGCTCAGCGAGGGCAGGAACCTGTCCCTCCTCCATCAAAGCCTGTGCCAGGCACTCCAAGACGTGTAAACGGAATCCAATAGGAGCTCCACATTTGACCATCTCTGATACACTTACAAAGGAAAATTCTCAATCTGACGACTTTTCATCCCACTAGAAAAAGGCATCTGTAATTCAAGGGGTGAAGGAATGTCATTTACAGCAAAGGTGATCTCCAAGGTGCTGGGTGTGTCTACTTTCCCACATCTGAACATAGTTTAACTCTGAAACCTTTTGCGTCTCTCCCTCCTCCACTTCATTTTCCCTCATTTTCGGCCTCACCCCACCCCCACTCCGACCAGGATAAGTAAAATACATCTATCAAAACACTAACCCATTTTAAGTTTCAGAAATAATTTGTTGAAAAGCTTTGTAAAGTTAGGGAACTAACAAAGTCAACCACAAACCCACCTCGCATAACCCAACCATATAATAGTTTTCTGGGCCAAATTTCCTCTTCAGGGCTTTTCCACCGGTGCCAGCATCCACCATCCCCGCGGACCCCACGCCCCAGCTGCAGGCCCTCAGCCGGGGCAGGCCGCTCCACCCTGCCCCCAGCCTCGTTTGCAGAACGGGAACAACAATAACATCAGCGGGTTTTCCTCCCGTGGGGTTGCAGGAGAAATGCACAGTGCATACACTTAGCACCCAGCTTGGCAGCTCCTGTTAGCATCCTCGCCGTCCCCGGGCGGGATGGGCCGGACCGCGCTGGGCGGACAGGCGCTCGGGGAGGGTCGGGGGAGGGGGGCCCGGCGGGCGCGGCTCACTCACCTGCAGGCGGACGTTGAGCATCATGGAAGCCACGATGTAGAGGTAGGGGAAGTTGATGCGCAGCCGCCAGGCCAGGTCGAAAAAGATGAGCAGCGTGCGGGTCAGACCCTTGCAGAAGACCCCATAGGAGCGGGCGGCGGCCGAGCGCGAGAGGCGGACAGCCAGGCCCGACAGAGCCGCCGCCATATAGACCGGC